CCCCGCCCCCGCCGGCTTATCATTCGAGACCCACTGCTCTCCAGTTCGTTGTGGTTTATACCCATGCCGAGCAAAAAGACAGGGGCGTGTGGTGGAACCGAGGACTTTAATATGTTTATAATACATTTTTATGCAATGCAGGTCTAATTGTGAATCATAATTTTTTCATTAACTGATCTCATTTTACTTGGTAATATCCATTTAGGTATGTGAGAGCAGTAAAACTCCATTTCTTTTAAATATCATATGATTCAGTTGGCTCACTGGTTTAGGTTTTTACTACCCCAACATTCCACACGAACGAGTCTTACATCTTTTTAGGGATGGTGAGGACCTTGACGATCGATCATGTAAACCCTGTGCTTCCCTTCACTTATGTATGCCTCGTAGGGGAGAGCAAGTGGGCCCTGAGTTCTGGCACGGAACTTGCAGTGGCCACCGCAAGTACTAAAAACGCTTGCTCTGTCACAGAAATGCACATGCAGTTCGCATTTTACTCCTTATTAGATCCTAATCCGCTTTGGGTACCTGAGTTTCCTTCCATGTCTTGAAGGAAAATTGGCGTGCCTCATTTGTCTTTGGAACGCATGTGTGTCCCGGCCCATTGCCACGTAGAAGGTGTATGGTGTAGCAGTTAGGACCACTGCCTAGAGAGACAGACTTCTCAGGACTGACCCTCCACTACTTTGCCTCCTTGTGAGTGAATCAGGGCAAGTTTCTCATCCTCCCCAGGCCTCACTTTCATTACCTGTGAAGTCGAAACAATAATAGTTCCCACCACGCAGGGCGCGATGAGTTGATGTGGCAAAAACGTTCACAGCAGAGCCTGACTCATGGAAAGCACTCAGTGGGGACTAGCCATGATGGTTATCCCAGGAGATTCATGTACCTCCGGTTTGGGGTATGTCTGCGCGTTCCCCCCAAGAGGTGGTGATAGTAAGAACTGTGGTCTGCAGCTCTGAGCTCCTCAACCTCAAAGACTCTGCATTCTTAGACCTTCACCTGTGCCCAGCCTGTGCCTTTAAGTTATCCGACATAGGTGTTTCATACACCTACTGGCTTCATACAGATGGCTGAGGGGGCATTGGCAAAAGTCCCAAGCCTGCCTGGATGGCTGAGGGGTCATTAGTAAGTATCCCAAGCCTGCCTCTTCTGTCCCCAACCTACTTCTGCTTCCTTCTGGTCTCTGTCTCATTTCCAGACTCCCAGCACCATCTCTCACTTATATCATGTTTATGAGCACGGAGGGCATCATCCAGTGGGCTTGGCATCTCTGTCCAATTGCTCTGATATCTGACCTTGACTAAATGACCCTTAGAATAAATTCCCAAGTCTTGACCCACCAGCCTATGTCATGGAAAGACCTACCTTTTGCCCCCATAAAAGAAAGATTTAAATGCCCTGCCAGGCTCCCCTTGCTATGTGTTACGCTGGTTACCAATTATTGTGTACTTTTTCTGAGACATATGCTAGCCGAAGTGCTGTATATACATTATTGTATGTAATCCTCTCAGATCCTGTGGGGGCGGACATGGGTAGATATTAGTATGCCTGCATTACAAATAGGGCAGTCGAGGTACAGAGACATTGAGTGTTTGCTTGAGGCCATGTAGCCAGTGAATGGTGCAGCGGGAATTTCTTTGAATCCATATCTGTATGAATCCAAAGCTTCTGCTCTTATAGGTAATAATGTCCTCTTCATTTTCTTAGAAAGTTCCAGGGAAACCATGAGCTCTCCTTATCCTAGTGTGGGGGCTGCCCCTACAAAGTCTACCAGGGGTCCAATGAGCAGTGCCAACAATGCATGGGTGACTGGGGATTTTTTGGGCTGTCCTCTGTGCCAGTGATTCCCTATTTGGTAGGCACAGGCTGGAAGCAGCAGGAGGCAGTCTGGCTGGAGGTCCTTGGAGCCACATGAATGGGGCTTGGTGGGGCCAGGCAACTCATATCAGACCAGACAGCGGACAGGGAGGTGGGCTGGCAAGAGCTGGAAAGGGGAGCAGAACCTCAGCTGGAGGGCCTGGGTGTGGGGCCAGCCCAGGACCAGCAGGGAGTGGGGGTGCAATCTTGGGAAAGAGAAGTGGAAACCCACTTTGAGGGCTAAGGCTAGAATCTCTGGTGGGGAGGCCGACTGGAAAGGAGGGAGTTCTCACTTGAAGCCATGGGGCATCTGGATCACATCCCTCAGCTTCTCGGTAGACCCTGTAGGATGTATTTCTGTATCCCTTGTGCCTAGTGGTTGTTGGATGAATGAATGGATGAATGGGTGGATAAATGAGTTTGGAGAAGCATGACGATTGCAGTCTGTCCTCCCCACAGCTCCCAAATACGGGGATAAGATTGTTGTATGCAAGGTGATGGTGAGGAAGGGAAAGGGGTTGTCATGGCATTTGCAGGGGTGCACTCTGACCCACTGTCTCCTTGTCCCTTCTTTCTCCAGAGGCTCCCGCCAAGCCCGAGGAGGCAGAGGCTGAGCCCTTCACAGACTCCTCTCTGTTTGCACACTGGGGCCAGGAGCTCAGCCCTGAAGGCCGGCGCATGGCCCTGAAGCAGTTCCAGTACTACGGCTACAACGCCTACCTCAGTGACCGTCTGCCCCTCGACCGGCCTCTGCCTGACCTCAGACCCAGTGGGTGAGCAGAGTCAGTGGCTGGGCCCTTTCGACCTGCCTGTGGGGAGACGGGGTCACCACAGTTCTGGGGATAGAGTCAGGACAGGGCCTTGGGGCTCCTGGGTCCCTCTCCCGCAGGGTCTGTGCCCTCAGCCTCCATTGGCAACTCACTCTCCCCCTCCCTCAGCCTCAGTTTCTCCATCTGCTAAGCAGGGGAAGCTTCTTTCATGAGGCGTTGAGGATTAATAACCTAATTTACTCCCTATGGGCTTTAGAATCATCCAGTATTCTTGTTAATAAGTCATTTTAACCCAATTAGTTGCATTTTTATGAACAATTATTTTTTTCCTATAAATTAGTATTTTAAAGTCTATCCATCTTCCAGGGCTAACAAGTCATTATGCCCGACGCAGAAGTCTGTCTCGACTTCTCTCTTTGTCACAGAAGACGTTCCTTTAAGGTTCAGTTAGAGTTTTTATTACTCCTAATTATTAAAAGTGTGGGCACGTACCACAGCTGAGAAAATCTCATTAACTTTTGTGAGCTCCCCCCCCCCATGCCTTCTTTTCCCCTCTTTCTCCTTATTTTTAAAATTTTCTTAAAGTTGCAAACCACAGTGAGCTTGTATCTGGGGTTTTTAGGAAAAATCTTGCTGCTGGGTTTGGAGGCTATGTTTTTCTAGGGAGGAAAGTTCAGTTCAGTTCCACAGACATTTATTGAGCACCTACTGTGTACTGTATAATTGAGTATGGTTTTTCCCTGGCCCAAGGAGAACCTGATTGGGTTCTAGGGCTGAAAGAGCAGCTGAGGATCTACAAGGGGCTAGAAGAGTATATATTCACATAAAGGATAGTTACTGAGCACTTCTTATGTATCAGCATAGTCTAGGCCCAGGGATAGTACAGTGAACAAAACAGACAGGAATCCTTGCCCTCACAGAGCTTGCATTTCTAGAGGGGCAGGGACACATAATAAAACAGGGGTGCCTGGGTGGCTCTGTGGGTTGAGCATCCAAGTCTTGATTTTGGCTCAGGTCATGATCTCATGGTTGTGGGATTGAGCCCCAGCATGGATCCTACTTGAGAGTCTCTACCTCTGCCCCTCTCCCCTGTTTGTTCTCTCTCTCTCTCTCTCTCTCTCTCTCTCTCTCTCTCTCTCTCTCAAATAAAATAAAATAAAATAAAATAAAATAAAATAAATTTTTTAAAAGTAAAATATGTACCATGTTAGATGGTAGCAAATGTCATGAAGAAATAGAAAGTTGAAGACAGAGATAGGGATTTCCTGGAATAGAAGGAGGTGTTGAGTTTTTAGTGAGGTGGAGAGAAAGACTTCACTAACAAGGTGACATGTGAGCAAACATCCAGAAGAGATGAGGAAGCAAGCCATGCGGATACCTGGGCAAAAACTTTCTATGTAGAGCAAGTGCAAAGGTCCTGAGGTAGGAGAAGTGTGCTTGGCATGTTTGAAAAAGAAAAAAGAGGCCCATGTGGCTGGACCAGAGCAAGCATGAAGGCAGTAATTGGAGATGAGGGCAGAGGGGCAACAGGAAGCAGATCAAGTAGGTTAGTGGTTCTCAAACTTGGCTACATATTCAACTCATAGGGAGCTTTAAAATAATCTTGATAGGGCACCTGGGTGGCTCAGTTGGTTAAGCATCTGACTTCGGCTCAGGTCATGATCTTGTAGTTTGTGAGTTTGAGCCCTGCGTCAGGCTCTGTGCTGACAGCTCAGAGCCTGGAGCCTGCTTCGGATTCTGTGTCTCCCCCTCTTTCTGCCCCTCCCATGCTCATGCTCTGTCTCTCTCTCTGACTCTCAATAATAAATAAACGTTAAAATAAATAAATAAATAATCAATCTTGATGCCAGGGCCACACCCTAGACCAGTTAAAGAGTTTCCAGAAGTGACACTCTATCTGTATTGCTTAGAACTTTCATGTGATTCCAGTATACAGCCCAGGCTGAGAATTGCCAGGGAAGGGCTTTGCAGGCTGCTGCAAGGGGTGTACCTTTCACTCTGTGAGATGGGGATCCAAGGGCTTGAGCAGACTAGTAATATGCTCTGATTGTCATTTTTAAAGGCCCCTGTGGCTGCTGTGCTGAGAACAGACTGAAAGGGCCAGGGAGAAAGCAGGGAGTCCAGTTAGGAGGCTTCTGCATAGCCAGGTGAGACGCGATGGTGGCTTGGACCATGATGGCAGTGGGCAGGTGTTGGGATGGGGTTGGATTCTGGGAATATCCTGAAGGTGATTTTATCTCCGCGCCACAAGGTCTCAGCCCTCCAGGAGTGCTGCAGGCACCGTGCCTGGGGCTGCAGAGAAGTAGGTCTGATGTGGGCAGAACCTAGACACTCTGGAAGAAGAGTCCTCAAGAGGAATTGGGGCCCCAGGACTTCTGCAGGGGCCTTGGCCTTGATCTTGGCAGCACAGGAGCTACAGACTTTTTGCAGCCAACTCTGATGCAAAACTCAGGCCTAGCTCAATGCACGTTTGTTCCACGTTAAAAAGGAAATCAGAAGGAAGCTAAGGAAGGAAAGGGTAGATCTTACAGACTGCAACATGACCATAACAATTAACGGTAATTACATAGGGCTCGACTTGTTGAGAATGCCCTTCCCTGTTGGACCACGCCAACCTGAAGTGGATGGAGGTAGGGAAGGAACTGGCATATTCTTCCCATTCAGGGTTGAGGAAACTGAGGAACAGAAAGTGTAATGAGTGTTATGTCTGAGGTCACACAGTTGGATAAGTAGTTGAGCCAAAACTGTGTGTCCAGATGCCTGATCCTGGTCTTTGATGGTAGCCCGCAGCTGTCTTGTTAAGAGCCAACCGATGCTGGAGCCCCTAACCCTTCATTGAGAGAGGTGCCCTGTTGCTGTTCCTTCTTATTTCCATGGGAGAGAAACAGGAAGTTGGGGTGGGGGGGATGGACAGAGGCCACATGGCCATCCCTTGCAAGCATGCTCTGGAAGAGGCACGTTTTGGGGGCCAGTCCAGCCTGGATTTCCGGACTTTGCTGAGAAAGGATCTTTGAAGGACTCCAGGTGGGCAGAATTCTGAGCCATTGGAAAGGAGCAATAGTCCCAATAGAAAGACCTTCCCTCTGCACAAAGCTACAGTTTATGGAGTTTCCACACCTCCCCTGTTGGGCACGGTGACTCTTTATAGAGGAAAAATGGAATCCCTGATAAAAGGTAGCACTGAGCCTTCTGAGTGCGCCCCCAGCAGTCCTCTCTGCAGTGGCTTTAAGAATGCAGTTCCTAGGGGTGCCTGGGTGGCGCAGTCGGTTAAGCGTCCGACTTCAGCCAGGTCACGATCTCACGGTCCGTGAGTTCGAGCCCCGCGTCGGGCTCTGGGCTGATGGCTCAGAGCCTGGAGCCTGTTTCCGATTCTGTGCCTCCCTCTCTCTCTGCCCCTCCCCCATTCATGCTCTGTCTCTCTCTGTCCCAAAAAATAAATAAACGTTGAAAAAAAAATTTTTTTAAAAAAGAATGCAGTTCCTCTTTATGCGTCTGCTTGGAGGGGCTCTATCAGAGCCTGTGCCAGACACACGCCAAAGACCCAAGAGCTGTTGGGGGACCACTCAAAACAAGGGTGTGCTTAGGTAAAAGTGCCCCTCTTTGTTAACTTCCCTAAAACCATTCCTGCCTTGTAACAAGGTCATCGCTTAGCTTATCCTGTTTAACTCCGTTTGGAAACATTTGTTTCACTGTCTTTACTATCATCCTATTTCAAATTACATTGGCAAACATTTATATAGCTTGAGCCATGTTTGCAGGGATGCGTCTGGCACTTTTATTTATGTTAACTGTTTGGCTCCTCGCAGTAACCTTCTGGAGTAGGTACTTGTCTAGGAAGCACACGGTGTTCTTTGCTCTCCTGCTCACAATACTTCTGACACCAGATGTGTCGGGTTTTTCCACACCAGCTGATTCTGTGACACCAGCTGGAGGCCCTACAATTCCATCCCGTTCTGGCACTCTCTACCTCTGGTAGTCAGTCCTACAGGTTATGGGCTCAGTCCCATGACGCTGCCCTCACTTCGGAAGCCAATCACAAGTGTCAGGTTATCACCTGTGTCTCTGAATGACTGGCTATAAAGTGAGTTTCCCATGACCCATCCTTGAATTCAGGAACTTGCCTGCAATTACACAGAACTCAGGGAAATACTTACATGTAATGGTTGATTGTGAAGCATATAATACAGGATATGGATGAACTGTCTGATGAGGAGGTACATAGAGTGGGGCCTGGGAGGGTCCCCGGCATAGGAGCTTCTGTCCCTGTGGGCTTGGGGTGCATCATCCTCCTGGAATGTGGGTGTGTTCACCAACCTGGAAGCTCTCTGAAACCCATACTTTATGAGGCTTCATCATGCAGGCATGATCGATTATTAACTCATTTTCCAGCACATCTTCTCTCTTCAGAGGATTGTGTGGGGAGGTTAGACTGAAAGTTTCAAACTTCTAATTATGGTTTAGTCTTTCTGGTGACCAGACCTCATCCGGGGCCCATCAAGAGTCACCTCATTAGATCAAAAGATGCTCCTATTGACAAACCGTAAGAGACTCTTAAATACAGGGAACAAACTGAGGGTTGATGGGGGGGACGGTGGGGATGAGGGGAAAATGGGTGATGGGCATTGAGGAGGGCACTTGTTGGGATGAGCACTGGGTGTTGTATGTAAGTGATGAACCACGGGAATGTACCCCAAAAACCAAGAGCACACTTTACAGATTGTATGTTAGCCAATTTGACAATAAATTATATTAAAAAAAAAAAAAGATGCTCTTATCACCCAGGAAACTCCAAGGGATTTAGGAGCTCTGTCAGATACTACTTTCAGTCAGGAAATGACAAAGTGTTTAGGATCTCCATGTCAGGAACTGGGCTCAAAGACCAAATATCAGCAAAAACCAGGGGTAGAGACCAATATATATATTTCTTATTATTTGACAGTATTATTATTAGTTTCCATTTTATCGAAGAGGAAACTGAGGCATGAAGAGATAAAATCTGCTTG